CCTCCGCCTCCAGCCGCAGCCCTTCCTCCGCCTCCCCGCCCTCCCCTTCCACCGCTCCCTCCCGCTCCACCTCCCCTCCCTCCGCCTCACCCGGCCCCTCCTCCCTCCCCTCCCGCTCGCCTCCTCGGGCGGCGGCAGCAACATCGGGTCCGGCTCCGGCTCCGGCGGCGGTGGCGATGACGACGACCTCCCCTCCGGCGGCGGAGGAGACGAGGACGAGGGCGGCGACGACGCGTCCGTCAACAGGAGGGAGGCGCTGTTCGTGCTGGCGCAGCTGGGCCGGAAGCTCGAGAGCCTTCCCGCGGACATGGCCGCGGCCGTGGAAGGCGGGCGCCTCCCCGGCGAGATCGTGCGCCGGTTCGCCGATCTCGAGAAGTCGCCCATGTTCCGCTGGCTGCTCCAGTTCGGCGGCTTCAGGGAGCGCCTCCTCGCCGACGACCTCTTCCTCGCCAAGGTCGCCATGGAGTGCGGCGTCGGCATCTTCACCAAGGTCCGTGTGAAAATGAAGTCCTCCACTCCGTGTATTTTCCACATAGCAGCATCTCGTTTCTGTGGTTTGCGCTTCAGATCGTCAGATGTGGTTTGGTTTGCTCTGCTTTGACTGGCTTCACTGTAGAAGTTTCTGTGGCCTAGAGTTCAAAGGCCCAGCTCTGATGTGTGTGGTAGATTGTCGTATGAGTCGGGCTTTGGCTCGATGGCGATGCGTGCCCGACTCTGGCTTGTTGTCGACGTCGCTTCAGGGTTGTCGGGAGCGTTGTTTGGACGAGCGCTTCGGTGAGAAATGGGGCGGGAATATTTCTCTGCTGTGACAAGATGCCGATTCTTCACTAAATCGGATGTATTCGGTATTCCATAATCTAATTGGACAGTCTACTAAGTGCAATTTCATTCCCTCTAATACAACAAAGGCACATGTCCTTCTAAAGAAAACAAAGGCAAATGTCGCTTTGCTAGATGAAGAAAGGAATACAGAATAAAAGAAGCCTTTCTACGGTCTGAAGTATACTCTTGTGCTGGCAAAGAACAAAGGCAAGTGTTGCTGTTCTTGCCTTTCTCTGAGTAGCATTATTCGGTCACATCAGCCACAAAGCTCCAGAGCTACCAAGCTTTGTGGTGCCGTGGCACCACCAAAATGTCATAATAGATCGTACAATCTAGCATACTACAAAAAATGATTCAGCACAACGTACGAATGATGGCTTCACCATTTCTCTCTTGCTGGCCTACGGTGCACAGTAAAAAAATTAATCTCAATGTGTATACTAAAATTATGACATGATGATAGACGCTCCCTCTGTAAACTAATATAAGATCGTTTAGATCACTTAGGGAGTACATCTTATGGCAATGCTAGTTTTCTTTTCATAACTCTTTAGTAGCGCTATCGTGTGTTGGTAGCTTAGCATAGGAACCACAAAACTTGTTTGGTAGCACTAGAACTTCTCTCGTTGTGTATACTTTGTTTGACTAGTGCTTACTTTGCTTTGCTGGAGGAAGGGTGTAGCAAGCGACGAAATGCTTCGGGGAGTTGAAAATAAGCATAGATCCGGAGATTCCCAAATAGGTCAACCTTTTGAACTGCCTGCTGAATCCATGAGCAGGCAAGAGACAACCTGGCGAACTGAAACATCTTAGTAGCCAGAGAAAAAGAAAGGATAATGTTGCTCTTCAGAAAACACGTATAGTGGCCTTCGTCGATGGGACAAACGCTCCAGTGTATGCGTTACAAGGCAACTAGCATTTTGTCATGGAAGTTCGTGAAAGAATGTTCTTGTTTTTCGTTGGAAAAACCAACGCCGACGTCAAGGCCAGTATGTAGTAGTTTTTCAAGTAAAACAAAGTATGCACTAGTCACCTTCCGTTGACTCTTTGTGGACATATCCTTCAAATACAATCCCAGTGGCAGCCGAATGGGAACTCTGTACCCTAGGAATATGTACTCCCTCCGATCCACAGTAAGTCCTTTTAGAGCATGGTTAATAGTACAGCCAGCTGGTGGCTATATGATATTGCCATGTCATCTATAGCCAAGGTTATAGCCGGCACGTACAATAGTTAGATGTAAAGATGTGCTACTTTATTAATGCATGGCCCACGTCTCACTCTCACATAGTGCCTAGGAGCACGTGTTGCAGCTGGCTCTTATTCTGTAGTCGGCTCCTCTTCTCTCCCCTCCATGTCAGCAGAAATATAACATTTTAACTCTTATAGCCCGCTTACATAAGCTTATTTTACTTGCTCTTAGCATTTTCTAGTTGAATATATACTCCCACTGCACTTTTGCTCATGTTGTTCCTATTTAGTCCCTCATTAATTTCATTGAGAACTGAGCCTAGAACTCTACTGGGAGGGAAAACAGAAAGTTATACAAACAATTGAAGGGTAGCATTAACATTTTTCTACACCCTTAATTCTTGTGAGCCTATTTTGGATTGGAGGGAGTAGTTAATGCAGGGTCTGGAGAACATTTGCTCATCTCCAGAGTTGAGAATTGAGAAATACATGCAATGCAACACATATACTTGGGTGCATTGTTGTTAGAAACATCAAAATATTTTGTCTCAAGTTGTATGCCTGAAACCTATTCTATATCTGCACTTGCTTTTATTTGAGGGCAATTGCATTATTTTGTGATTCAGTTTGCAACGCATATTTAAGTTCTGTACAGCTTATTTGACATATTTCTTTTTAATGTTGCTAGACTGCGGCAGAATATGAGCGAAGGAGGGAGAACTTTGTCAAGGAGCTTGACTTTGTGATTGCCGATGTGGTATGCTTCTATTATTTTTTGGGATATCCTTTACAAATTGGCGAGACTTTGCCTTCGATTCCGTACACTCAGAATTACTACCTATGTTTAAAAAACAGATGATGTTAATAAAAGCATGCAGTCAAACTTCTCTTGATAAAAGGCACAAGGTTTTCTCAGTATTTTGTGCAAACATTTGCGAACCCCGGTAAATTGTGCAAGCGGCTTCATATTAGGGAGTAAATAAAGCAATTTACTTTTGATTTGAGATTTCGGTCATCATTTTTTTTCCTTTCAGAAATCAGAACAAAGAATCAATACGCAATTTTGATTGACCCTGCGAAGCTGTGCTAGAGGTTGTTAATGTGTTATGATTACCAAATGAACCTTTTTTAGATTTGTTGCCAAAATAAATAAACAGATTGATCTTCAAAATATATAACCTGCATTTTAGACCCAGTCCTAACAGCACAGACCTGCCCCCTTTCCTTCTCCACCCGCCAAGCTTTACAAAGTTCTTTTGCATTTTTTTCCTGAAAAGAGGAGAGGTGTTCCGCCTCTCTAATTTTTTTTACCGGAAATCGCGCTGCTCTAATTTATTAGGGTTGGTGTTTAAAATATAGGGGTGGGCGAGCTTGACAACTGAGTAACCACTTGCATGCTCACTTTCATGCAGGTGATCTTGTAGTCCAAAAGTTACATTTATCTAAAAATATACTACTTGATTTGAAGCGCACAAATGATTTTTTAGAACTCTTCTGATTACTAGTCTTAAAATCTTGTTGCAATACTTTCTAGGTCATGGCAATAGTTGCAGACTTCATGCTTGTTTGGCTTCCTGCTCCAACTGTGTCTCTGCAACCAGCACTATCAATGAATGCTGGGGCTATTGCTAAATTCTTCCACAACTGCCCGGATAATGCATTCCAGGTAACGTGATCTCAACTTATTTCTCCCTTTCCTAGTGGTACAGTGAAGAATCTACTTTTCTGAAAGGGAAAGTATTTATCTTTTCCTTGAAACTTGTAAGGGAACTTATGTGACTTCTTCTGCAGGTTGCTTTGGCTGGAAGATCATACACATTTTTGCAGAGATTTGGAGCTATTATGGTAAAGATTAACTATCTGTGCTATGTTGTGACTTGTTTAGAGCGTGTTTGTCACAAACTAATAATTCGCCTTCTTTCAGAGGAACGGCGCAAAACTTTTTGCAGTAGGAACGAGTGCATCTTTGGTAAGTTTGTTATGCTGTAATTTTGATGTTTCTGACAAACAGTACTAGCATTGTGTTTTTATTCAATTGTAATTGCATTGCCTTGATGCTATGCGAGGAATCGATAGAAGCTTCTATCATCTTTTTTTTGTTTAATCTTGAAATAGCATGAGGAGAAAAAATATTTTCTTTTTCTCAAGTACTCTGTTCTCATAGGAAGAAGTAACCGTTTAGTACTCACATGAAAACATGCAAAAGTAATATTTAGAAGAGGTTTGATGAGGTTGTTATTTTTCATGTAAGCACTCGTTATGTCATGCACTGCTCAGTTGTTTAATTGAAAATCTAGAGGCCTGGTAGTGTGCAACTTAATAAATTTGATGGTAATTGTTAAGTTGATATGTCAGCACTACAACTGTATATTACGACCTTGAAGCCTCAATCAGATATGCCGGTTAATTCTTAAATAAAGAACACCTTGCAGAGTGCCACTGATCTTGTATTAGGTGAAGGGAACATTTGAAAAGCTAAGGAACATGCTGAAGTAATGATACAATTTGTTTTTGGTTCCACATAGGAACAGTTTTTTTTTTAGATAATGACATAGTAACAACTAGTCAGTGCCATTTTTACTCTTCAAATACTCCCTCCGTTCCTAAATATACGACCTTTTAGAATTTCAATACGGACTACATACGGATGACACATTTTAGAGTGTGTAGTCCGTATTGAAATCTCTAAAAGGGCTTATATTTAGAAACGAAGGGAGTACTACTCAAGTCCTTATGAAAAGCTTAAAAAGATTTGGGACCAAAAGCGGTTAGCAGTGACCATTGAATAAGTTTCTTCAGCTTGAGTTGGGTTCCAAATTCTTATAAATATCAATTGACTTTTTGTACCCAAAACAAATGCGCTACCAAGCTGCACTACATCCCTTTTCCAAAGCACAGCTTGGGGAACTTCAATATCGACGGGCTTGCTAGCTAAATGGCGCAAAATCTTTTTTCAGATTGGCACGGGTGTGACCAACGCAATTATAAAGGCAAGAAAGACTGTTAACAAGGATGATGCTGGCGAAGTTGAGGATATCCCAATTGTTTCAACAAGTATTGCCTATGGTGTATACATGGCAGTTTCTAGTAACCTCAGGTACCATGCAATATTGCAATTATTACTCTATGTGATATGTTTGATTTGCATGAAGTGATTTAATATTTCCTAAGAGGTTAAGATGAACCTTTCTAATGATTATGTTATGTTTAATTCCGCCTCCGTTCCGACTGGGACATTATGAGGGCTCCAAAAACCGTCTAGTAAATAATTATACAAAAGTAGGACACTAGGATATGGAAACCTGAAAATTTGTGCGGACAAAAATAACGAAAACTAAAGCAACTGAACTTCTTCTATAACAGGTACCAGGTTCTGGCTGGAGTGATCGAACAGCGGATGCTCGAGCCGTTGCTACACCGCCACAAACTAGCATTGAGTGCACTGTGCTTTGCGGTTCGGACGGGGAACACATTCTTGGGTTCTCTACTGTAAGTAATCTATAGTCCGCAGGATGTTAACTCTGAATCTAAACATGAAATTCCGATGTGGTCACTTACTGGCTGAACATTTTGCCTTTGCAGGTGGGTTGACTATGCCAAGTTTATAGGCATACAATAAGTTGAAGACAGACCTAGAATTGCACAAATCATTTGCGTCGCTACGCCATACCCTTACCGTACTTCCTATCCTGACTCATCTGCCTTCATAGGAGACACTAATGACAGAGGTCGATTGCTTTTGTTGGAAACGAAAGATGTGTGCAGAGAAATGGTAATTTGTCGAATTCCCAAGAACAAGCGCTTGGATTCTATTTGGTGGCTTGTGAGTTTTGTCCTGTTAGAACTCGATTCGTTTCAGACGATGGTTTTGCAGTCGTTTCTGTTGCGCAAGTATGTTCCTGTGCTCTGGCTTGTTCTGTTTAAAAGTTGTGCAGATAACAGAGATCATCTGGGTTCTGCATGACACGCGCGTCTTGACGTGTGGTTATGAGACTTCATTCTTCCCTTGAAGCTTAGCAATTGGGAGACCTATCGTCTTAGTCCCTGGAGCTGCCTATAAGGATAGGGTATGTGTTTGTGTGTGAGGATGTTTGTATGGGTGAGTGTGCGTACTGTTGTGAGCGTCTGCATCTCTGTCGCTCGTAAGCCACTGACTGATTGCACCGTTTCATCGGCTGCGTCATGCTCTCGCCACGTTTCCAGTGACACATGCCAGGGACGCGATCTTATCCTTTCACAACCGCTTAGGTCCGGTCCGGTAACGAACCTTTCCAGCGCGGTGCTGCCTCCCTCGACCCTCCCTCATGTGTGCAGTCGCAAGCTGCTATTGCTGTGAGCTGTGAAAGCAAGCCAACATTGGTGCAAAGGGGTGAGCCTCCTATGCTGCAAAGGCCAGTCATGGGTGGCGCCTTCATTGTTGTTGCCGCGAAGCATGCTAACGCGATGACGTGCTATGAAGGGGAGCCACTGGTGCTGCATTGGGTGACCGCTAGTAATGCATGCGCATGGGTGGTCAGTGCTTCAAAGGGGTCATCGGTGTTGAGAGACGAGTCAACGCGCAAAAAAAAAAACGCCGTGGGTGTCATGGTCTAGGTCTCAAGAATGGCACACTGCTATAGGCCGGCACACTCGGCATTGTCACTGCTCATCACCTCTGAGTTGAGCTTTTGCAACAACGGTGGTGTTGCAAACAACAGACAACGAGGCCGACCGGATTGCAATATTGCGGAAGTTGGATTGCAATATGATTGATGTTGCGGCCAAGACGCAATATCAACATGATGTTGCAACGACGGCGTTTTGCAACATGATCAATGTTGCAGTAGCTACACTGCAACATGATCAATGTTGCGCTCGAACTACCGCTCGATCATACCGAAGGATTTCGTGACTCTGACGATCTTTGCCAAAAATCAGCCGGCCGAGGCGTAGCGCTTGCAAAAAACAAAAACAAAAAACCTTGCTACGCACGTATGGAGGCCGGGCGCACCCGAAACGATCCTTCTTGGTTTGATGGTTTGTGTACTCCCTCCGTTTTTATTTACTCTGCATATTAGAGTTGACTGAAGTCAAACTTCATAAAGTTTGACCAAGTTTATAGAAAATAATATAGACATTTATCATAATAAATCTATACTGTGTGAAAGTACATTTAATAATAAATCTAATGTTGTTGATTTGTTATTGTATATCTTAATATTTTGTATATAAACTTGGTCGAAGTTTGTAAAGCTTGACTTTGACCAAAGCTAATATGCAAACTAAATAAAAACGGAGGGAGTATTTCTCAAAAGAAAAAAGGTTTGACCGTGTGTGTACGCGTACGTTACATCTTGGAACCCAAGCCGCGCATGCCTCATACGTGCGTGGGCCAGACAACTAACCCTAGCAAACATCTCGATATTCACACGCGCCCTATATATATCCAGAATATATCCCTCGTGTGTTTTCTCTTGCGAGGGCCCGTAGATCGGAGAGAGATTACTAGAGCTAGACCCACCGTCGCACATCCATCAAGATCGGTCTCGATGGCCATGATGAGGGCGAAGTGGTTCCTGACGGGCGTGCCGGTGGGGTTCTGGTGGGGGTGGAAGAAGAGCAGCGAGTGGGAGCTGGAGGCGATGGTGGAGTCGGTGCTGCCGCGCCCGGTGGCGAGGCACGTCGTCGACCTCCTGCCCAAGGCCACCGCCGACGCGCGCCACAAGGCGCGGCTGGAGGAGTCCATCCGGGAGAACGCTCGCAAGCAGGAGGAGACCATCCGGAGGCAGGACGAGGCCCTGAGGAGGATGGAGGCCACCGCGATGAGGCAGGAGCAGACCATCGGCCTGCTGCACGCCGTCATCGCGCGCCTGCAGGAGGCCGAAGACCAGCGTCTCCTGCTGAAGCAGGGCCCGCCGACGACCACCCCGCCGCCGCCGACGACGACGAAGCAGCAGTAGTGCGTGCGTCGTCCTGAAGTCCTAAGCGTGCGTTCGTGAGTTGCTTCTGCTTGCGTGGTACGTCTACGTGTTGACGGTTCGATCTAGTAGTAGTTGATGATCTCAGAGAAAACCTTTTGTTTGCTCTTTAATTTTGACAGTATACTGCATGTGCCATGCTCGATTGACCGTGTGACCGTGTGATAACCGTTGGAATATGCATGATGTAGCGAGGACGCACATACACGTGCATCCACCTACGTCGGCTGGAGCGTGACACTGTGCTTCGACTTTCGTGATGCACATGAGCACACATCTCCATGTGTGCGCTCTGTTTATATATACTACTCCCTTCGTCTCATAATGTAAAACGTTTTTTTAACATTAGTATGATAATGAATCAAAATTATAAATAAAGCTTAACTAAGATGGTCCACCCAAAAAAAGATTATTTTTCATGTTCATGTTTGCCGATAGCATCTAAACCAACTCTGCTAGAGTCATCATATTAGAAAAATCGACATAATAACCATCAATATAAGGATTCTAGCAAAAAGAAAGTTATATCAAGTTCAATCTTTTATTTTGTGGGGAAAGGAGTTCAGACTTGATTTCGAGCTCAACAATTTTGAAGTTTGTTTCAACTATAAAAAGATGGTTAAAAAATGTGAGTGTTCTTGTAATGAATTCCAAAGAAAAGGTTTCTTGAGGTTGTACAAAGATTCATTTTCTTAATAATAGTAAAAAAAAATCTTGTATGTTCCCCTCCTTCGAGATTATCAGATTTGTGTTGAGTTGAGGGTTGAATATGAATTTGATCCAAAACTGTCCATTTTTTTGAGGTTTCCGGCGGTGTGTGTTTGTCACATTATAACAGGTCTAGTCCAAGACATACACCTAACTCTCGTAAAACTGCTTTTTTTACGATCCCCGCAATGGCTTTAACTTTGAAAAGTTTTTTAGGTTGGCCCCCCAAAACAACCATCCCTACTAATATTTCGGTTGCGAGTGATTTCCTCTAGTGGTGGAGCCACCTCCCGGCGACCCCTGCCAGCCGGTCCAGAATATTACTCCTAAACACTAGTCCTAATCCGCGGTTAGAAGGATTATTTCTTTTGGCAGGTGGCAGCTCACACTGTCTGTTGGTTAGGTCCTGCCCTTGTTGTATTTATGGGTTGGCTGTGCCACTGCTTTCCTCCTAGTCACATGTGCAACAACTATCCTCCTCCCAACCGCCGCCGCCATCACTCGCGAGTTCACGCCCCAACCGATCTTGCTGGCAATGCAACCCCTCATTCGTCTCGAGCCCTCTCCCCTGACCCATTCCCGACCTACCAACGCCTCGTAGTCGGCACCCCATGCATCCTTCCCACCACTAGCCATTTGTCGTCACCGCCGCCATTGTCCTCAGTTGCCCCGCCGCATGTCGCTTCCAATTGAGCTGCGTGCTCCTGCTCCCTCCTTCAATCGACTCCTTCGCCATCCCCCGCCGTCCACCGCCTCGAGTCAACCTCTTCGCTATCCCTCACCTCAAACCGACCCCTTTGCTATCCCCCGCCTCAAATCGACCTTGGCCGCAATAATAATGTCAGTGAAGGAAGCCTGTTGGTGCCGCCTGCGAGTCATGGACCAAATTAAGGTTCGTGAATATGTCTTCAATAGAGGCAAAGGAGTTGCCAGACTTTGGGTTCAAGCTTACATTTTGGATACAGTGCCGACTTCAGTGACGGTGACAAGAAGCACGAGCGATGCTGGCATCTCCTCAGCCATGCTCGGCGTGTTTGCAATGACTGAGCCAACACTGGGAGGAGGTTTCTCGGTTTCCCATTGAAGGGTTACAGACATTTGTGAATATTTGAAGTGGGTAGGCAGAGAAAGGAAATGCAAGACAAAAGATGTCACCCCGGGATCTTGCGATGAAGAAATAAGCTTGGGCGAAGAATCAACAAAATTAAGGTTATAGATCAATGACAACAACAAGATAGAAGGATGGGGGCAAAGATGTACAAAAAGCAGTTGAGTAAGAGGGATATAATGCTTAGATCTAGTGTTATATTATATTTAGGATTGTTGTATTTGTGTAGTTGTTAGGAAATGATATATGTTTGTAGTGATGGTGGCTAAATTTGTGTTTTTCAGCTTTAATTTTACCGCAAAGAAACTTTATTGGCAGCTAATTGTAGGGATTGATTAGAATGCGGCCTCCAAAATCCTGGCTTTTGAGAGCGAGCTTTTTTGGAGTTAACTGGAGTATTATAGTTGGATTAGAGACGCCTTTAGACCCCTCAAAAAATGGATGCCTTTAGACAACCACTACACATGGTCGTTTATTTTGTAATCACTGGCATGCAACATTTGTTTATATTTGTCATTCATTTTCCGCTAAACCTCTCTTGCATTTAGCGCTATTCTCTTAGCATGTTGGTACCGTGTTTTATTTAGGGGTTGTTTGGATAGCTTGTTTTTAGAGAACTGGTTCTTTTTAAACACAAAATCTGTTATAACAAACTAAAACCTTGTTTGGGTTATCCAACTAAATCACGGATAAGTTAAACTCAGTTCTCTAAAAACCCAAAAGAGTTTTTAGAGAAAAAAAACACTAATCATCGTTTTTCTATATACCCATTTTGTATGCACGAGTAGATGGCAAGATTCTACTTGTGTTGTTGCCGGAATTACAACATATTTCAACAAGATTTAATTATGCGATTCATAAATATTTGGAGTTTCTTATATAATTGTTATCCCATCCGTTTCTAAATACTTGTCTTTCTAAAGATTTCAAAAAGTGACTACATATGAAACAAAATGATTGAATCTACACTCTAAAATATGTATATATGCATCTATATATGGTAGTTTATTTTAAACCTCTAAAAGGACAAATATTTACGAATGGAGGGTTTCTATCGAGTATGGGTGCTGCACTGATCTGCCCGTGGCGATGTGACTGAGGATGTCGCCACAACGGCCTATACCCTACGTGACGTGAAGCTAGTGCAACATTAACACAGATGTAGCCAGTAGAGCGTGAACGTGCAGCGCGGTACACCTGCCTTCAATGCCGCACAGCAGTACCGTGGTTCACTCATCCCTGCCACATCTGACACGGGGATACACACACACATACATGGTGGCCAACGGTCCTGAAGCATTGAACCCCACTCCACTCAGTTCATTTCCAGTGTATTTTTATGCATCATCGCGAAGTTTTCATCTGAACATCTCGCGTGTCTTTCATCACGGGGTTTGCCCCTGTCGGCATCGATGGGGAGTAAACTCGGCCACGGGGCCGTACCGATGCCGTTCGCGCAAACGACGACGGGCCGGACAAACCCGCATCCGCCGTGGCGCTGCCGCTGTCCCTTTCCGGCCCCGGCCCGCTATCCTCGCTCGCCGTCATCATCAATCGCGCATCCTCGGATTCCCCTGCGGCTCGCTGCTCCCCATGTGCCGGCCCACTGGGCTCCACGCGTCCCCATCCGCCTCTGCCTCTCTGCCTCTGCCCCTCCTCCCCCACCCCCACCCCACGCCACCCCCCTCCATTTGAAACCACCACCACGGCCGCCCCCAAACGGTCA